ATTCCAACAAGAGCTTGATAGAGAACTGCTGACATGGATCAACTATCCAATCCACACAGTTCGAAAATACGACGTTAATCACGTCCTAAATTTGCAGGCTTCGCTGGCGTTTCCACGAAAAATACCGAATTCTACTCAAGAATGTTATAGAAGGGGCTTTCTACGATAGCCCACAGTCACCAGTTACGGTCGGAACAGAAATACCTCCTAGGCACCAGTGAGAGAAACAGAATGGATTAACAGAAACAAATGTATTTGTTCACTGTTTTCGGTGTTACCACAAAGGTTCGCTAAAAGTTGGACATACCCAGCAAATCAGCCACCTCGTTTTGCAAGCCTCACACTCCTGGGGATACCAGGCTTCGCATGAGGCTCCCACCCACATTACTGCGTCTAGCCCAGTGACTGTTTATCACTTTACCAATCGTAGCCTTGTAGCAGCTCTCAGTTTTTACCATACAGTTTTCCAGCAGTTTCCAATACATGTCAGAGCGGAACCTCTAATCGATATCACAAGTTTTGTTTGAGGTCACTTCATTATTGGCTGTTTTTCCCCCAGTTCTTAACCAGTGGTACAACTATCAGAATATTTAAAATTAGTGAGAAGTGGCAAGATTAGCACGCCGCGATCCGGGGATGAATCCCGGATCGGCCGCCACCCAGACCAATCAAGCCTTTTTACCCTTGAACGGCAAATTGGTATTGGATAGGTTTGGTAGGACAAGAACACTGACTTGTACATCGGACCACCGCAAGTCATTGCATAGGTCACATCGCATTCAAAAAGCCACTACGATTCTGAATGGAAGTAGAATGCGTGCCGCATTCCAAAGAAAACAGGTCAGCGGAGGATGTTATCCTCCAACAAGATCTTCAAGTACCAGCGAGCGATGTTGAATCTACTATCGAAATAATAGGGGGAATTCGGTGTTCAGTGGGACAGTAGGAAGCCAAGAAATGTGCAGTTCGGCGAGGGGCGGAAGGAGGGGCATTTTGCACCTTGAGTGCTTCCTACTGTCCTGCAGAGCCATCAAGTAGAGATTTGTGAAATCTTGCGAAGCCATAAAGTCATACCAGTCAACGTTTCTTGAAACTGATTGTCCACTCCTGTAAAGCAATAAGCACAATAAGAAGGAGCTGAAGAACTGAATGCCCCCCCCCCCGTCGCCCAACTGCGCCGACAAGAAAGTATATTCACAGATTCCACTCTAGGCTCAAATCTGGAGTTTTACAACTCTTTCAATCTACTGCAACTGCTGTAGAGTAGCATAGTAAAGCAGCGAAGCATCCATATTATCGTACCTCATCTTGCACATGGTCAGCAATAAGTAGTAATAAAGCCGCCGCACGGGTATTCTGCCGATGAGCGAGAGACAACCCAAAGGAACTGCAAGCAGAAGTGAACCACGTGAGAACGAAAGGTATACTACTAGTCTTACCGAGATGAACTTTTATTCATAGAGTTGGTCTCAGCAACAATGTGCTCAGCAAGATGTTTCGCGAACATAGAGCTATTCTTGGCAAGACGAAGAGCGAGACAGATGCCATTCAGTCGCGTGCGTTGGAGAACTTCGAACGGCCGTAGGACACGCGTGGTCTGCGAAAGCAGCGGTTTAACAGGGATCCATAAAACTGCTTAAACCTGTGTATTGATCATTTCAAAATTGTAACACGCTCCTCATAAATCATGTCGTAGGCAGCATTAAGCACCTTATGCTCCTTTTTTGGTATTGGCCCAAAAACAGCAAGATCGAAAACCTGAAGTCTCGCGGAATAAATGCATCACTAAGATTTATTTTGCCACAAGTGCAGAAGATCCTTGCACCTCCTCAACCCTAGCAATGCTGGTCCGCCCATGCTTGCGCCCTTGACGGCGTTTCCGCCTGCAATTGTCCAAAAGGCACTGCGAAATGAGGAGAGCCACTGGTGTGTTCAGTTGGGCTAATTCCAAAAGTTCTGAGCATTTGCTCTGCAAAAAAAATAACTCGAAAAAGAACACAATGAAGAGGTGGGAAAAAAACGAACCAGAAGAAGCAGCGTGACATCAGACTGAGCTACTGCGAAGTTTTTGAGACATAGGCTGCATAAACAAAATTGGAGGCCTCTATTAACATTTCATACTCAATCACTCAAAAGAGCTAGTTTACTACCCACCTCAATGTGCGGCGCAAAGCTGGCAAAAAGTGCTGAGATTTCCGCTCCTCATTCATTACACTGAAAGCAGCTTCCAACAAGGCAAGCAGAGTTTCGGGACATGAGACCTTAAAGTGAACTGAACAGAATCCGTGAATCACTAATGACTGGATCGCTGATGACGTTGGGAGGGAGCCCTTAAGGAACTTCTCGTGCATTCGGGATCACCGTAACAAAGGCCAAAACTTTGCCTAAGCTCATATGGGATAAAGCGAAGGAGCTAAGCAAACCGGTTTGACAAGCGTTATCCTAGTTTTGCACAATAAGCCCTTTGACAAAGGCCAGGTGCCGGGGCGTTGATAAGCCCTTTGAAAGCCCCTCCCGGGGTTGTTAATGCCATTGTTGACTTCAGTAAAAGAAGTGCAAAATTATCGATGGCAGTCTTGTGAGAATCATAATGTTATGAGGTCTGCCACACGATGAGACACTACTCAAATCGAGAAGCGCAAAAACAGCCTTAATGAATGTCATTAACTAAGATGCGTAGCTGCGGTTTACAATGGGCATTACACGCCTTGATCACACATTTGTAACGATGTGTTTCGCCGAAAAATGGGCGTAATGCCATACAGAATTTCTCACATCCAAGTAATTTCAAGAGACCTACGAAGAGATGATAAGAAAACAGAAACAAACTTGTTCAATGACGACGTCGGCTATATCCAGATAACATTCAGCAACAGGGTATGCAGGAAGCGCACTCCAGCCAGCTAACACATTCCTTCACCACGTCGTTAGCACTCTTCCGAAAAAGACTCGGTAGGCGACATCTGAAAGATGATCATAGGATGTAGACCATCCACGAGACAATTCAAATTAAATCAATCAAAAAGTAACCATACCTAATACTAAGCCTAAGCCGATATTCGTGAAGCTTGGAAGCCAGCTTATTGACATCTTCACCATGGCAGGAATCGACTCTGGATTGAAAACATAAGAAATTGAAGCTGTCATGCTCGGCATGAATAACTCCAACAATGATTCAAGCGGTCCTATTCCCAATCGGCTTTACCTACACTGTACGTCGCGTAGGCGAGAGAGCGTCATCACCGAGATATCGTTCAATTTTTTGATTTGCGTCATCCTTGTGGTTATTTGCGAGATCGTCATATATGTCGTTCAACATTCTTGACCAGAAGAGCCTCTCGCGAAAGTGGAATGCCCTTCTTGAATAGAAACATATCACAATGCAACTAAAAAGTTAATATAGCCGAAAAGAAGAGCACCTCAGATATGAGAGTGAGAGCAAGATCCGCGATCGGCTTGAAGCAATACTTCAGCCGTCTCAGAAGTCTCACATATACAGAATG